TGAATAAACCCCAGCCTTTCAGTGGCTTAATCACACATACCCGTTCAAGGTTGGTGTTCCTAGTCAATGGGCTAGTTTTCCACCTTGTAATGAGTGAAGGACCTAGGCCCCCTGTCTTGTGGCTCAGCCTTTCCCTGGGGCCTCATTATCACAAGCAGAAGAGGAGAAAGGGGAGAGGGCAGCATGTTTCAACCTCTCTGTCTGTCAGTGACACATGTCACTTGGTCACATTCCATGGATGAGAACCAGTCACACAAGACCCTATGGCTGAGAGGTACAGCCTCTGGCTGGTGGCTCCTTTCCAGTAACATCACTATCCTACGGACACCAGAGGATGGACTGGAATGTCTGGTAGATAGCTAATCTTCTCTGCCATAGGGAGCTTCCACTTTGTTTCCATTCAAGGAAAGAAACTTTGTCGTCCAAAGTGGAGAGAGGCAGGCAAAGAGTACTCCTCTGTTTCTTCATGGCTAAAACCCAGTGCCTTGAAGACTTTGGCTAGAGCAAAGCCAAAGATCATCAGCTTCTTAGAGAAGTTCATTGCTTTTTTTCATTTTGTTAGAGACATGTAAACTCTCTCTTCTCATGTTTTCTAGGTAGGGAGTCTGCTTATTGAATACTATCATAAACAAAGCAACCTAAATATCCATCAAAAGGGAAATGGTTAAGTAAATTATATATAACCATCCTATGAAATACTATACAGCCATTTAAAGTCACATTACGGAAAACTGTTTATGGGCATGAGAAAATATTCTCAATGTATTAGGCGAAACGAAGCAAATAATCAAAGATAATTAAGTAACTACCTAATCAATTACTAACTAAAATGAAAAGGACTAACAGAACTATAAATTCTCTCTCTATGTATAGCATACTCTATATAGGCTATATATATGTGTGTGTGTGTGTGTGTATATCTATTTATCTATCTATCTATACTATATATGTATGTATGCTGTACTAGATTGCATTTTTGTTCAAAACACTTCCTGCCTCGTTTGTACAGACTTTGTCCCACTGAGGTCGGCGTGACCACTGTATTTGCTGAGTGTGATTGGAAGAGATGTGGTTTTCCATGAGACCCATAGACAGAGGCTGCTCCTTCAGCCTGAGTCCCAGATTCATGATAGAGAGCAGCTGCAGCCGACCCACCACGGACATGTGATGGGAGGGAGTAATAAACATTTGTCATTGTAAAACATGAACTTAGCTTATACTAAAGCAGCACAGACCCTTTTAAAAAAATAATGAACAGAAATGAGAGCCTGAAGTGACATAAAAGGCTTCCTTCTTCTTTTGCCTCTTCAAAGAAACTCATTTCTGTTTTTTGTTAGACCAGAAGATCTTCATTATTCCATAAAACTATTATCTCCTAGTAGAGATTCTTGCCTTCTGATAAAAATAGTCTCAATATGTTCTGACTGACCTTGACATGTTCATGTTCAAAGTAATAGGGAAGAAGAAAGAAGCAGTGGGCAATGCCATAATGGGCTTCACTCACTTCCACGTACAGTAAGAATGCAAATGCCATTTGGAGGTCAGAGAAGAGATACTGACAAAAATGAAAAGACCACGGCCTTTGAGATTAAATTAAAACTGGGCAGATTGTAAATACAAAATCTGAGGCAGCAGCGTGGAATTATATATAACAGATGCATTCACAGAGCAGGTCAAACTGAATGGTGCCGATATCGGTTATATAGTAACATATTCTGTATGTAATTAGTAAAAGTTATACAATAACAGTAGTTAAATACCAGTGAAAGTCAATGGAGAGCAAGGTAATGAAAAGTTCATATAAGCATTCTATTTGACATGATATTTGGGAATGAAATTAAAGGCAATTTCATAATTAACCTTCTAAGGAAACAATAATTCATACTACCTGTACAAACTACAAAGAAAGGATCAGGAATCCTGATGTTTTCCCACAATGCACCACAGACGGACAAAAGAGTAAATCAGAAAAGTTGTTGCAAATGCGAAATATTATTAGCCCTTTGTAGAAGGGGAGGGGAAAAAAAACCTCTGATGAAAATTTCCCTGGCATATGGATGCCATTCTTCTCTCTGCAGTTGGAAAAAAGTCAGAATGAATTAGAGAATGCTTACAAAAGGCAATTAACATGAGCTCAGAATGGAGAGGCTATTGAGGTAATGGTCAAATGAGTACTTACCTACAATATGCTTAGCATGAGGTCAAATATTATGAAGGAATATACAAACAATGATACAAGATACCATTTGCTAAATACTGTAAATACCACAGGCCATGTGCTGAGTGCCTTAGTATGAGGTCTATTTAAACCTCAAAACAACGCTGGGTATAAACTAGGCATTTATAACAAAGACAGCCGCTCATCATAACTTAGTTTCTTTCCTTTCTGGGCTCACAGCTAGACTGCATTTTTTTCAGACTCCCTTGACGTTAGCTGTGATCAAACAGTTAAAGAGGAAAAAAAAATACTAAGACTAAAAATTGAGCTCTGAGTGGAAGAGAAAACACAATGCATCCTTAATAGAAGCAAAGGTTTCCCTAGAACTTAGCTTTGAAACCTACATGGCACACACAGCACTAGATTAGATGCTTTTCAAATGGGTGCATGAAAAAAAAACAACCTATGTGGGCAAAAAGGGAGGAAAATGCAGTGTCTGCTGTTTGCACTCACTCAAGTCCTTCCCATGTTGAAGAATGGCTGATGCTAAATGACTGGAACGGAGCCAAAACATTTTTACAAACTATAACTAGAATGAGTTGCATTTTTAAAAAAACTGTCTTCTTGTTTTAAAACTGTCTTCTTGAGATGTAATTCACACACCCATAATTCACCCATTTAATGTGGATAATGAAATTTTTTTAGTGTATTCACAGAATTGTGCAACCACTGTCCCAATCTAAGTTTAGAACACTTTATCCCCCCTTGAAAGAAACATATACCCACTAATTCTCTTTCCTTTGCCACTTGTCCCTCAGCCCTAAGCAACTATCAATGTACTCTTGGTCATTATAAATTTGCCTATTTGGAAAATTTTATTTAAATGGACTCATACAATATGTGGCTTATATTGTGATTGGCTTCCTTTATTTAGTGTACGTTTCCAAGATTTATTGATGGTGTAGCATATATCAGTACTTTATTCCATTATTGCTAAATACTATTCTATCGTTTGGCTGTACTGCAACTTGTTTATCCATTCAACGGTTGTTGCACATTTGGGTTGTTCCCACTTTTTGGCTATTATGAATACTGCTTCTGTGAGCATCTGTGTACAAATTCTACACTTTTCTTTCTCTTGGGTAAACATACTTAGGAGTATTATTAGGTCATATGGTAACTCTATGTTTACTCATTTGAAAAGTTACCAGACTGTTTTCCAAAGTGACTACGCCATTTTATACTCCCACCAACAATGTAAAAGGGTTCCACTTTCCCCAAATCTTTGCCAATACTTGTTATTGCCTGACTTTTTGATTACAGCCATATTAGTGAGTGCACAGTGGTATCTCATTGTGGTTTTCATTTGCAGTTCCCTAATGAAATGATGTGAGTATTTTTTGCCTGTGCTTATTGACTACTTGTATGTGTTCTTTGGAGAAAGGTCTATCAAATCTCTTGTTCATCTTTAAATTGGGTTATTTGTCTTTTTATTGCTGACTTGTATTTTTAAAATACATATTCTGGATACCAGTTCCTTACCAGATGTATGTTTTGAAAATATCGTCTCCTAATATGTGCATTGCTTTTCCACTTTCTCGATAGTGTTCTTTAAAGCACAAAAGCTTTTGGGGTGCCTGGGTGGCTCAGTGGGTCAAGCATCCGACTTTGGGTCAGGTCATGATCTCACCGTTCATGGGTTCAAGCCCCCCATCAGGCTCTGTGCTGACAGCTCAGAGTCTGGAGCCTTCTTCGGAATCTGCGTGTCCCTCTTTCTCACTCTCTGTCCCTCTTCAGCTTGTGTGTGTGCTCTCTCTCAGAAATAAATATTAAAAAATTTGAAGCACAAAAGCTTTTAATTTTGATGAGGTCCAACTTCACTCATGTATTTTGTTACTTGGGCTTTTGGTGTCTTAAGGATCCACTGCCCAACTGAAGACCTTGAAGATTTACTCCTATGCGTTCTCAGAGTTTTATAGTTTTATGTCTTACAGTTAGGGCTTTCATCCATTTAGAGTTAGTGTTGCATGTTGTGTGAGATAAGGGTCCTACTTTATTCTTTTTCAGGTGGATATCCAGTTGTCCTAGAACCATTTGTTGAAGACATCTTTCTCCCCACAGAATAGTCTTGGCAAGCTTGTGGAAAACCATCCGACCCTAATGGAGAGGGTTTCTTTTGGGACTCTCAGTTCTATACTACTGATGTATATGCTATTCTTGTGACAAGATTTCTAGTAGGTAACTAAGTGATTTTGGAACTCTTTGCTCAAAACTTCTACGGACTTTTAGCAACGACTATTCTTAAGCGATTCTTTTTTTTTTTTTTTTAATATATTTTAATATATTTTTTTAATGTTTTATTTCTGAAAGAGAGAGAGAGAGAGAGAGAGAGAGCGAGCGAGCAGGGGAGGGTCAGAGAGGAAGGGAGGTACAGAATCTGAAGCAGGTTCCAGGTTCTGAGCTAGCCGTCAGCACAGAGCCCGATGCGGGGCTCAAACCCACGAACTGTGAGATCATGACCTGAGCCGAAGTCGGCCGCTTAGCCAACTGAACCACCCAGGCACCCCTACTCTTAAGCGATTCTTACGCTTTTAGGCAACTCCTCGTTGTTTCATTTCAGAGCAGACTTCCCAGAAATGATACATGACAAACTCTTCTAAAAAAATCAACGCGAATTAAAATTAAAACTTTGAGAAATTTCAAAACAATTTTTCAAGACATTCTGGGGTGTGGGCCCACTTCACTGGCTCTACTGCTGATTGGAACGTCTCTGCCTTTCTCCTTAGGGATGGGCACTCTCATCCTTATTCATGAAATTGAAGAGGGCAGAGTTTCCACTCACCTCACTTGTTTCCTCTCCCGTGAGCAAGTGTTGCGAGGTCTCTACAAGCCGTAGAAAATCCTGGAACCTCGAGGATTTTCGAACCACCCTTCTAAGAGCGCAGTTGTTTACCGGCCAGCCCGGAGTAGCTCAGTCTCGGGAGCCGCCCGTCCCCCAGGCACAGCCCGGGCTTTAAGAAGGGCAAGGTCCCATTGGCACCTGATGGCCTAGGCCGTCCTACGGGCCCCCTCCCGTCCAGCCTGCGCCTCGCAGCGCGCCCGCGCGGGGCTCCTTCAGACCTGGCATCACCCGCCCGACGCTGCGCCCTTTCCCGTCCTCCGGGGCGCGCCGGCAGCGCTCCATCCCGGGGCTGCTCTGCGGCCGGGCCGGCAACCCTGGCTTCGCCCGACAGCGGGGTCCGAGGCCAGCGCGGGCCTGCCGGGCGCCGGGCGCCGGGCGGGGGGCGGGGGCGGCCGGGCGGGGAGGGGGGAGCGCGCGGGCAGGCGGTGCGGGCCCGGGCAGGCTGCGCTGGGTGTGGTGGGCGGGGGCGGACGCGCGGCGGCCCCACCCTCGCCTGGGCCGGGCGCTCGCGGGGCGCGGGGCCGGCGGGCGGCGGCAGGCTCGGCGAGCGGGCGTGCGCGCGGACCCGGCTCGGAGGACGCGGCGGCGGGCGCGGGGCGCGGGGCGCGGGGCGCGCGCGGCGGGGCAGGTGCGCGCTGCTGGCTCGCGAAGCGCCGCTCCGCGTCGCGGCCATGTCTTGGCTGTGGCGAGAAATCCTCCTGGAGAGCCTCCTGGGTAAGCTGAGGCCGGCCCGGGGCGCGCGTTCGCGGGGGCCGGCTCCCCGCCCGGCTCGGAGCCGCGCGCTCGGCAGGTTGGCGGGGCTCGGGAGGGAGCGCGCTCCGCGCCCAGGATGGAGAAGTCCTCTCGGAACTTTGCTACCGCAGTCAAAAAAAAAAAAAAAAAAAAAAACAAACCCAGACAGGTTCGGAGGCCGAGGATTCCGTGCGGGAGACGGTGCCTCCGAGCTCCCACTCCGCTCGGGGATGGCACCCAGCTCTCCGCGTGTCGGCCTTGACCCCGCGCGGCTGGTACCGCTCCCAAACCGGCCCCCTCTCCGACCTTTACGTACGTGGGATTCAGTACTGGACCTTACCTTTCACAAGGAAAGGGGTCCCCGTGTCCCCCAGCGGCTTGAGGTGAGCGCACAGGGAGACATCTGCTGCCTCTGTTGGCCCGGCACAGGTGGCCTTGGTGGCGGCGGCACGTTTGGGCATTTGGCGAAAAGCGTCGAACTCGAGTCGCGTGTGCGCACCTCGCAGCTTTGCGAAAACCAAGGACAATTGTTTGACTAAAGTCAGAATTCCCAGACAAATGTTTGGGACAGTGTTATAATCTCGCTGTTCATTATGAAACATTCTTTTTGCTTGGGAGGGGCACTTTTCTAAGAACTTGATTTTCTGGAAGCTGCTTATACTCAGGAGGAAACCCCCCTCCCCCCCCCCCCCCCCCCCCCTCCCCCTCCCCTCCCCCTTCCCTCCCCAAATGTGTAAGTACAGCGGTGTAAAGTGAATTACGTTTAGTAAGTACCCAGGACGTTAGGTATTCTGTGTATTTGATCTCATTTCATGTCAACAACTCGGTGAGGTGGCTCAAAGGACTACTTTGCTGGTTAAGAAAGAGAGCCTGAGAAGTGTACCTCTGGAGAAAGTTGCTACACGTGATGGCTAGGTTTGGAGCCAGGCTGCGTGGGTTTCGGTTTACTTTGCCATTTGCTACTTTTTCAACTGTAGGCAATTACTTTCTGAATCTGTTTGTTCTTGTTTGTTTTCACACTTATAAGAGGGGAGTAAGAGTGTCCACTTCATGGGACAGGAGTTGCATGAGGAGTAAGAGAGAAGATCTCTGTAAATACGTAGCACAGACGCTGCCACAAACTAAGTGCCTATTCGTTAATTATGACTGTAGAAGATTATACAGTCAGTAGTTGGCAGAGGTCCAGATCCAGGAATTTAACTGCCCCATACTGTCTTCTAAGGTTAGGTTTTAAAAACTCTACTTACAAGAAAATGATTGTTGCCTAAGTAGCCTGCCTTTGGATGTCGGGAGTGGGAGGAAGGGAGGGCTATCTGCTGTTTGTTCCTTTTTTTCTTAGTAATCTCTACATCCAGCCCAGAGATCAGGAGTGGCATGTTCCTCCTGTTGAACCAGCGTGACACCTCTGTCTGCTCCTCTTTTTGATGTCCTTGATACTGCTCTTTATAGAATGGCTGACTTAGGAAAAGAAATTTTATCAGTTAGGGTCTGACAGAAAGTCAAATTCAACCCAGATGGTCCAAATGAAGAGGTTTTAATAAAGGAACAACCTGTGTGGGTGTGAACAAGGTTAAAGGAGTAAACATGGGGCGTAAAGGGACTCACAACAGCAAGAAGCCATTTTCATCCCGGGACTTTCTCTTCCAGCCCCAGGAAGGGGAGGAATTCTGTACTGGAACTGAGTTAGGGTCAGAATCGTGAGGGGGGTGGTCAGCCAGGGCCCCTACAGTGGAGGGGCAGGGCTACTGTTTGAAACAAAGACACGATTACACTTTCTCTTTAATGATTTGTTTTCTAGGGTATGTTTCTTGGTCTCTCTGCCATGGCCTGGGACCGATGATCTATTACTTTCCCCTGCAAACTCTAGAACTCACCGGGCTTGAAAGTTTTGGCCTAGTCTTTCTTTCTCCAATATTCCTAACACTTACTCCTTTCTGGAAATTGGCTAAGAAGAAGTGGACGCTAATCCTGTTGCGGATAATAACTATCGGTAAGATTTAGAAGTGTTTCTTTAAGGTTGTGTGTGTGTGTGTGTGTGTGTGTGTTTTCAACCTCACGTGAAAATATGTAGACTCTTCTTTGAATGCTAAATGATTCAATGGGGAAAAAAAGATCCTTTTTTCTCTTACTATTAAAGAGTTTTAGTAGAATTGGAAGACTAGACGAAGAGCCAGTGTCTTTGACATTTCTAACTTTTCTGTCAGAACGCAAAAGCCTAAAGATCACTGAAATGAAGAGGGAGAACAGGTCAACTCTTGAACGTTTTGTGTACTTTTTTCCAACTCTGACTGAAAACTCAGAAACCATTAAAAATTGTTGACTGATGAGGCATCTGGGTGGCTCAGTTGATTGAGTGTCTGACTTTGGCTCAGGACATGATCTCACAGTTCGTGAGTTTGAGCCTGTTGTCGGGCTCTGTGCTGACAGCGTGGAGCCTGGAGCTGGCTTAGAGTTCTGTGTCTCCCTCTGTCTGCCCTTTCCCTGCTAACACACACAATCTCTCTCTCTCTCTAAAATAAACAAATATAAACAAAATTTAAAAAATATTGAATGACACTGCATGGAAGTGGGAAAATTATGCATGCTGAACACTATAGTAAGCAGAGTCAAACAACAAATTAGGAAGGTATTTGCAAATTTTTAGCCAAAGGGCTAATTTCACTAACATATGGACTTTTTACAAATCAATAATAAAAAACCAACAACTCAGTTGGTAACAGAGCAAAGGATATGATCAGTTTACTGGGAGACCATGTAATTTTTAACATGTATTTTAAGTTTAAAATGTATAGAACACACACATTTGTATGCAGCCAGGTACTGGATTGCCAGAGAACAAAGTCGGGTAACACCGTATTGTAAGGGTGAGAAGTAGGTGCTCAGCATTGCTGGGGGGAATGTAAACTGGCACACGGTTGTTCTGCGGAGAATAATTTAGCATCATTTATCAACATTACAAATACGCATATAACCTTTTACTCAGCAATCCCATTTCTAGGAATATACCCCACAGCTATACCTGCGTATGGCTTAAAACGGTAAAACTACAATGTTATTTAATCATTATAGCAATATTTATAACAGCAAGATTAGAAATAACCTAAATGCCATTTATATGGGATTGGTTAAATAAATTATGGTTTTGAGACGTGGAACACTATAGAATGCTGTGCAGCTGTATAACAGAATGAGAACATTATGTAAGGAAATGGAATGTTCTTTAAAATGTATTATTAAGTGGAAAAAGGAAGCACTAAACAGTGTGTGCAGAATAGTAACATTTGTGTAAGAAAGTTTAGACGGAAATGTATTTAGTTTTTAATTGCACATGCGTTAAATAGCCCTCGAAGCATTAAAAAAAAGCTCCGATAGCATTTTAGTTACTTGAAAATGGTTATCTAGACACAGGCATAAAAGGGAAACTTTGCAATACATACCTTTGGTATCTTTCAGATTCTGAATTTGAGTGTGTTATGTTGCCAAACATTAGCAATAAAAATTTTTTTTAATGTTTTATTTATTTCTAGGAGAGAGAGAGAGAGAGAGACAGTTTGAGCAGGGGAGGGTCAGAGAGAGAGGGAGTCACAGACTCTGAAACAGGCTCCAGGCTCTAAGCTGGCTGTCAGCACAGAGCCCGATGCGGGGCTCGAACCCACAAACGGTGAGATCATGACCTAAGCGAAAGTCGGACGCTTAACCAACTAAGCCACCCAGGCGCCACAGCAATAAAAATTTTTGAGTGTACACTTACTGTCCCAAGGAACTGAGATTATTAATATAAATAAATATTGAAAGACCTTGAAGAAGTACTGGGAGTAAAAAGTTAGAAGGTGGGTTCATGGGAGAAAAGGTTTAGCAAACAAAAACACCAGACTCCGGTCTGGTTGAACCTGGAGCTGAAAACTCTGGATGTCTGTTATAATGCAGGGCAGTTGGTTTCTCTGGAGTTTTCGAAGCGACATGTATTTCTTCTCTCTGGATACAGTCATTTGACTTTTATCAGAAACAGTGACAAGAATTACCATGAAATTGCCTTCTGCGTTTCTGCGGGCCAGTCCCTGGAGAAGGCAGAGCGAGGTTAGTGCAGTGAGTTCTGTGGACACCCACAAGGGTGTAGGACTCAGCTTCTCAAGGCCTTGGGCTCCAAAAGAACAGTGGTAAAGACCACCGAAAAATGCACCCTTTATGAAGATGCCGCCCAGAGGAATGGAAAGACCGATCAAATGTGGAAAATGTCAGCTCCAGAAATAATAGCAATGAAGTGTTCTACTCTGAGTGGAGGGAATAATAACCAGCTATACTGCCTTGAGCTTTCAGTCCCCTCCTATGAATTATGGTGGCCGGAGTGTTGCAAGTTTCATTTTCTCGTCACACTCCCTCGTTTGCTTTATGGGAATGGCATCAGTGGCACTTCTTTGTTGCCTTTGCTCAATGCTGCCTGTGCCAGCCTTACCTACAAAGCTATTGGCTGAGAGTTACTGGGGCGGGTTTATTATTATTATTATTATTTAGATCCACTTCTGGCCCAGTAACTTCTGGTGGCTCTAAAGGATGCGATATTAATAAGTTTGAGGTGGGTATGGTATTTGGGTTGCTTCCTGTTGTTCCCAT